TCAGCCTCAAATGAGTACCTGGTGCGGTGCGTAGTAAAAATCGCCACCGTTGGGAGGCGGGCGGGGACGGGCGGGGGGAGGGAGGGGAGAGACAAAGGCGGCCGGCGCGTGGTGCTGACCCACCAACCCACCCACCCTTCGTCCGTGTGTGCCGTGCCGTGCCGACCTTCATCGCAAACGATCACTTGCCCCGGCAGGCTGTGTCGAGGCTACACGGGGGAGCTTTGTCTTTGTCGCGGTGTGTAACGGTAGCTCCTCCACGCGCGCGCACCGCCTGTGTCGCGACATTCTTTGCGCGCCTGGCGTCCATCTGGGGACCTGTGTACAGTGCGCTTTGTTTTTTGGTGGTGGTGGTTTGGGTTTTTTTAACTCCATTTAAAAAGTGCACTCTTCGTGACAACAAACGACCACGGGTGCGTCCGTCCAGAGGGCACAGCCACTCGACCCAGACGCGTGGTTCACCCGGCTGACTCGCCCACAGGCACTGATAAACCAGCGAAAAGGCCACGTGGGGGTGCCACCACCTTAGCCGGTCACCCAAACAAACAAACAAGCTACACAGCCATTCACTCACAACCCTCACCCCCGTCGACCTGTGGAAATAAAGCCGCTCAGGTACATCTGTGCCGTGTGTCCACTTCACTGGGCAAGCCACCTCAACATCAGCTCCCAAGCGTATTACCCACACATCGTGAAAGCCACCTGGATAACTGAGGCGCGTTGTTGTTCAAACCGAAGCATCTGGCCCCCGACTTCCCAGCCACCTCGCCCGCTGGCTACGTGGCCGGCGAACCATCATTCACACGGCCACTGAATCTGAAGCCCTACCAGGAGTCATCAGCCGTTGTTGATCCCCAAGCAGCCAGCTATGAGCCATCAGACCATAGTCTTGGTCACATCTGGCTTCAAGGCAGACGTTGCAGTTGGCAAGGGTTAATAAAGGCCTTGGCTATCGAATGCAGTCGAGGATTCCAAATGTCCCACCTAAATTACTGCGGCGTAGCAGATCGTCGGAATGGCTGCGATGGGAGAAGGGATCGTCTCCGTTGCATATCCGACCGCTGTTTTATTTCATTAACGGACTGCTCTCAAGACGGCAGGAAAACGACTCGATTATATAAATAAATACGACCAGAGAAAGTTAATGACACTTCGCTTCTGATGGGTGGTCGCAACGACTCACGAAAGAGTACTCAAAAAAGTTGGCACCGACTTAACGCCGAGTTTATTTTGAAAGCCTCATCACCATCAGCCTCAACTCGAGCGGCAACGAGGGGGTGGTGCGCGTTTCCCCAGCGTCGTTCTGGTGGTGGTGATGACATCACCGTGCCCCAGCGGTGCGATGGAGCCAGAAAGGGCCTGGACCACGTTCCAGTACTTTTTTTGGCAGGAGCAATGTACTTGGTTCGGAGCACTTCCTGAGAATATCTCTTCCTGGAAATTGTTTTTTTGTCCTATCGAGTACCCGACATCGGCGAAGACCGAGTTAAGTAACGCTTACACACACACATAACTAAACAAATCACAAGATAATTCTGAAGCATCAACTGGACAAAAAAAAGTGTATACAAAGTCTCCAAAAAGCATAACGTTGAACAATCTCTATTTCAGTTTAATGCTTCAACAGCCTGACCCACTTCTGTTGCGAGTCACAATATTTAGACCGTAAACTTTACCAGTGGTTCCCAACATTTCTCCATCCACGGGCCACTGTCAGTGGAAGAAAAATCATGATGCGCAACAGCTCCACAGACCACAGGCGGTCCAGTGACCGCAGGTTGTGAACCACTGATCTAGAAGATGCCCCCACTGCCGGTATTTTCGCTATAACTGAGAGTGCTCATGAGACGTGACTTTGTGAAGCGTGTGGTCACAGCACGCCCCGGAAACTGCCTCTTACAGTGCATGGGCCAGAGCAGACATTGGTACCACCTAATGTCGTAGGCCTTCATCCAGCAGTGGATTGTTCATGGATGATGATGGTGATTCGGTATTTTTGATCGTATAACAGTATGAATATGTGCTATTCATAAAAATAAAAACTCGGTCTTTAATTTCTTTACAAGGTTGTTGTTTATATTGGTGTGCCAACATGTAGAAGAGAATGAGGCCAAATACCCAGATACTGACTCAATATTTTCAGCAGTAAAGTTAAATAACGTTCCTAATGAAAATGCGCAAAGACACGTTTGCAAGAACGATTTGGGGCTCAAAGGACTTACGTGTTGTTTTTCCTGCATTAATCAAAAGTTATGGAAGATAATTATCAATCCAATCACAACCTCATTTATCGATTAAGTAGAAATATAAAATATATCATCAGCATAAATTAATCGTTGGCTGCGTCAACTTTAGGATGATATTATATGTAAACAGTTTTGTTTTCCTTATTTAAATATAAGGGAACATCACCGCATATGAGTTCTATACTAAGTGGGTTCAATATTTGAACCCGCGTTCATACGTCTCATTCCTCCTGGTGATACCAATCAGGAGGTGAATCTCACATCATGATTCTTGCTGGACCACTCTTTTCAAAATCGCCTGAATTTGTCCCATCTCATCAGAACTCTGAAGTACTTTCCAGGTTGAACCTGCAATGTACTTGGATGGTTGACCACCATGTACACACAGGTTGTCATAGGCAGCTATAGGGCTATGTAGTGGGCAGCAGAGGGTAGTACAGAAAAATCCATGACGTATTGTCGTGTTGTTCTATGCCCAAGCGTCTGAGCCTCTCTACCTCCAACCCACACTGACCAGCGTGGTGAAGTATGGTCGTATAATCCCCACGACCCACGCGGCATGGAGAATCACTCATCCAGCAGTTGACTCACTAAAGGGCTGTACATGTAACGCATCAGTCGTGGTTACTATAGTCGATCCCAAGGATACGTAAATGATTCTTTGGGTTGTAAATCATAATCGGGTTTCACGGTCCAATTGCCGCTGGCAATCCATACGCTCACATAGCATTGTAATCAATGTGCTGGAGTTTTTGTAAAATCAACATTGATTTTAAAGACCCTGGCTATGTTTTTGAAACTCACCCCAATGAGAACTATTAGTGATCCACATCACACCACATACTCCGAAATAATTATTTGTATTCTGCCGACAACAGTGGTGGTAACAGTGGTGGTGCTGTCCAATTGGGGGCCCGAAGCAGACATTAAATTCGTTTTGGGAGAGGGCGGGAGGGAGGACATTTAATTATGTAAAATCCTAGTGAGATGACATAAGAGATACAGTATAGAGAAGAGTCAGAGATTTAGTGAGATAAGAGACATTTAGACAAAAAATAGAGATGTAGTGAGTTGGAATGTTGTGTTTGTTTACGTTAATCATTGACTGTTTATGAGGATTTTAATTTGATGCATCCCGAATCTTTTTTTAATGAATTCGAGGCCCCTTGAGCTATTCGGGGCCACGTGCTTTTGCTTTATTTGCGAACGCGCAGACTCCGCCACTTGTCAGTAACAACAAATCACCGCATTGCAATTAGAAATGACTCCACAATACTTTAATAGTAAATATCCTAACCTGGTTTGAAATACAAATAGAACGAAGCATTTCACGTAGCTGCTGGCTGTAGCATTTTTGTGCAGCGCCTATACCCTTAACAAAAGTCTCCCGTATAGCCTTAACAGACTGCTGGGGCAAGTGCTGTTAGCAAGCACCTATGAAGTCGGATGGGGGTGGGTGGCCAGCACCAGGCCCGGCCACTCCCGGGATCGATGCAAGATATCATTCACCACTGATGTGGTTAGCCGGGAACGGGATTCGTACTCGGATGGCCGGCGGGTACACGATGATGAATCACCGCTCCCCCGGCCAGATGATGTCTCCACCCAGGTGTCAAAATACCCGTCCCATGTGCACCAAACTGGTCGCTTCAACTCTCCCTTGATCCGCAAATCACGGCAAGTGTGGGGGGGGGGGGGTTATTTTTATTTCTCAAACACAGTTGCTATGCACGGGCCCGAAACGTCAAGCGGGTAAGCAACAAACAGCACGAGCAAAGGTAAGAGTTAACACGTTTCTTTCACTTGAGCTTTAAAAGCTTGGGGGGGGGGGAGACATTCCAAAGTCGAGCAGTGCGAGTGATCATAGTAATGGGTGGAGGAATCAATGAGTGAAGTTAACAGGAACGGAATCCGCGGTAGTAGCGATAGAAGAGTGATACGGAGACGACTCAGTGAGTGCTGGGTCATCAGGCCATCGCCCTGACTGCTTCACAATTACATTGCATTCTAATACAAGTGCAGTGAGGTATGGGCTGGGTGCTCTATTGTATGTATGTTGAGCTTCTTTCGCACCGTACGTAAACAACCATACGAATCACATATATGACTGCAGCTCGAGCCCAACTTCGGCGACCGTGTACACGTCCAACGTGACCCAGAGTCCCACGTGACCCAGACTCCTAATTGACCCAGAGTCCCACGTGACCCAGATCCTCACTTGACCCAGAGTCCCACGTGACCCAGAGTCCCACGTGACCCAGACTCCCACATGACCCAGAGTCCCACGTGACCCAGACTCCCAATTGACCCAGACTCCCACGTCACCCAGACCCTCACTTGACCCAGAGTCCCACTTGACCCAGACTCCCACGTGACCCAGACTCCCACGTGACCCAGACTCCCACGTGACCCAGACCCTCACTTGACCCAGAGTCCCACTTGACCAAGACTCCCACGTGACCCAGACCCTCACTTGACCCAGAGTCTCACATGACCCAGAGTCCCACTTGACCCAGAGTCCCACGTGACCCAGACTCTCACTTGACCCAGACCCTCACTTGACCCAGAGTCCCACTTGACCCAGAGTTCCACTTGACTCAGAGTCCCACGTGACCCAGACCCTCACTTGACCCAGAGTCCCACGTGACCCAGACGCGTCCGTCTCATGCCCCTTTTCAGTCGAAGCTGACCTCAGCGTTCACGCGTAAACGTCTCTGGAACTCCGCTTGTGATGGAACGCGGCACTGCACTCACCTCTTTGCGGAGAGCCGCCGTGGGATGAGCGGTGAGGATCCGAGGAGGAGGAAGATCCTTCAGCCCGTCATGCACATCGCATGCACACACGGCCCTCCCCGTCTCCCCTCGCCCCCCTCTCTCCCTCTCTCTGTCTCCACCCTTGTTGTAGAGTTTACTAGTTTTGTCTCTCAAGCACCTCCTGGCGCTCTCTCTCTCTCTCACCAACTTTCTCGTGTATTGTAACTCGCTCACAATTCTATTCCTCTTTTTAACTATACCCACCCACCCTCTCTCTGTCTGTCTGCCTTCTTCCCCGTTGCTTTGCACCGTCTATCCCAAGTTGTCTCTCCCGCAGCCACCCTCTCTCTCTCTCTCCCCCCAGCTGTGTCTCTTCCCTCCTGCTCCTCCTCCTCCTGCTCTGTGTGAGTGAGCAGCAGAATGCTGCGGAAACTTTGTAGAGTTCCATCTCGCCCGGCCATAGGCTGCGCCTACGCCAGAGGACCCGCCCACTCACGTCGGACAAAAGGAACGCTCCTCGGCATCACCAAGTGTCAGGACACACTCTAACACACACACACCGCTCAGCTACCTCGACCAGACCACCTTGCTCTCTACTTCCCAGCCATCTACCATCATCAGCAGCAGCAGCATCGATTACATCATTGTCATCATCCACCCCTTCCATCATCTACCAACTACATTATTATCAGTCATCTACCAGCTCGAAAGTCTTCTTGATCATCAGGTTTTTTAGTCATGTACCATCATCAACCATAATGATACCATCATCATCAACCACTGTCGTCACTCATCTACCACATCGACATGTCATCTATCACATAATCTACGACCATGAATCCCCTACCAGCTCCACCGTCATCTCGACTATCCTCTCTCTCGTCTCAAATCATCTATCCCCATCGTCATCAGTAATGTTCTTAACGTCATCCTCATCCACATCATCATCATCAACCACCATAATCAGGCATCTACCGGTTCTACCAACATCTTGAATCATATACCATCACCACCACCATCAGTCACCTACCATCGTCACACCATTTACCACATCATCATCACCAACCCCAGCAGCAGCTTCAGCAGTTGAGGAGTTTTGGGGGTCCCCCCTCCCTCGGAAGACTGAGTGGGTGCTTTAGAAAGTGCAGTGTTTGTACAGATCAGAAGAGAGGCGATGTACATCTCCCCACCCTCCCCATTAAAAACCAAGCCAGATTCCCCTGGGGAATTGAAATCATCATCTGGGCTACGCGACACGTTTGCCCTGTTGCTGTCACTTCAACACGCCTCCCCCATCGCCACGTGTGTGCGAGAGACTTCCTATGCAGGGAGAAAGAGTGCCTGAGGATCCACGGTCACATCACTGTAAGTGGGACGAGCTGCTGGTGGGGGATGGGTGGTGTGCTGGGGTGTTTTGGAGGTTGCTTCGGGGTGGGGATGTTGGGGGATGGATGTTGGTGGTGGTGGTGGTGAGACGGGGGAGTGATGTGGAGCAGAGGGCGAATGGGAGAAGGAACCACAGCCGTTGACGAGCAAACGCCCTCTTCAGTTTTGTTCCGGTAGCGGTTTTTTCCCCCATCAATGAGTGCTAAATCCCATCCTTGTTACATCCATTTATTAAACTGTTATTTTTTTTATTTCACCAGGTAAGCCTCAATGAGCTATATAGCTATTTTTCAGAAGCGACCTGGCCACAAATGATTGCTCAACGAAGTGGCTTATTGTCATGTGCATATTTATAGCAGCCAAATTTGGAGGGAAAACCCGGAGTACCCGGAGAAAAATCCACGCGACCACGGGGAGAGAGACACGCAAACTCCAAATATACAGCAGGCGTCAGGGTCTGGATCGAACCCACGACGTCCTGTATACCAGGCGAGGTGGTTAACATCTCGCCACCAGGGCACCCTTTTATATGAGGTACTCCTGTGTCTTTTGCCAGTGACATCTGTTAATTTATCAGTATTTGTTTTGCAAGCCTGGCTCTGCTGATGGGACCCAGAGTGTCGAAACGAGCCAAGAGTTTGCTTGCTGGAACACATTCTGCTGCACAGACCACTTCGGATTGATTCCATATTCACTTTATATTTAGGGCCTCAAGATAAGTTCCATTGTACAAGTAGTTTATACTAGTTTATCACATTACCAGTAACGTGATATATTTAAAAGGTTGGCTTTTGTCAACTCGTTTTATGCGTCTGCCATTGTGGGTTATGCACAATATCTCTTGGAATGCATTTGCTTTTTATTTGGCTGCATTGTTCATGAATGTGGTTCTACAAATTAAAGGCATGTGGTGCGGTAGGTTTTGTAGTAATTAGTGGTGGAGGTTTTTTTTTCCCGGACAAAGAGACTACACAGTAACACACAAACAAGGAGTAATTGTATCTGTAAGGCACCTCCTACGACAGAGGATCTCTTGAACATGAGGGGAGGTGTGGGGAATGGGAGACGAGAGAACAGGGAGTATGGCGGGTGAGGTTAGGCAGGGAAAAAAACAAGCATTTTAGGGGTCAGCGAGGAATGGGGAAAATTAATGGTAAGGGAAGGATTGATCGAGGGTAGATGGGTAATGAACTGCGTCAATGGAGGGAGAAAATAGGGGTTAGGTGTGTGAACTTTAGGGGTTATGGAAGCTTGGTGGTGTTTCATTCTTCACCTGAGGACGGCTGCTTGCGTTGTGGCCGAAACGTCGTGAGAATTATTTTATTATGTTTCATTTTTATTATTGTATTACTTCCCTTCTACGTGACTTTACCGAAAGAACCAAGAAGAGGGTTATGGAAGGTTTCGGATGGAGTGTGGACAGGGCTATGGCGAATGCTGTGACATGGATTGCAGACGTGCTTGATATTCTGAGACAGAAAGATGAACACAGGCATCAGAGACAAATTTCAGTGCAGTTCTGGCATTTTCCCCACGAATGGCAGGAATTCCCTTTCTGCCAGCTTAAAGGCCCTATTATCTCACCATGACACGCGTTTACTGCCAAGGGGCTTTGGAAGGTATGTCATTGAATTGAGAGTGAATGTTTTTCTGTAATAACCAATCAGTTATCAAATTACTTGGCGACAATGCACGGCCAGTAGTGCACAAGCACAAACAAAATACGAACAAATTCGTCAAAAAACAGTGTGGACTTCAAGATATAAATTGTTTTCCTGAAATGTCAGTGCTGTAATTGACAAAAACCTTTATGTTTTTGGTTCGTAATCAGCAAATGCTTCATGAATTGCATGTTGTATTGCTCAAGTAGACAACTGAATGACAGAACGGTATTGAATTTGTTTTAAACAATACGTCGAGAAGTCTAAAATATATCAACGTTGCATGTCTGGCATTCAGAGCCACCACAACTGCGGCCGCCATCTTAGGCAGGGAAGCCCGCCGCTCGTGCACGGTGGCGCGTGACGTCATAAACCAGTGCAGCGCGTGACGTCAAAAAACATTTGGAGAGCATGACGTCATCAAGCAGAGCCTCGGCGTAGCGTCATCAAGCGCAGGTTTTGCCGGAGGGGGCCCAGAAGCAAAAGCTACGCGTGATGTCATAAACCATCAAAGCGCGTGACGTCATTACGCAGACCTCGCGTGGCGTCATCAACTACAGCCATTACAAAAAGCTACGGTGACGTCATCAAGCACAGCTGCGGCTGACGTCATAAAGCAGTGGCGCGCGTGACGTCATAAAGCACAGCTACGTGGCCAGCCACATGCAATTACGTTCCTTATCCGTAATGGAGTTTTTTTTGGGTTAATTGACATCGCAACTCATTACATAAACACGTCGACATATATCGTAGCCGTAGTTCACAATCCACTAGCTGTGTACTGCGTATAGACACGCTGTGTAGTCTTGTGTTTGCCAGCACGGTTTGTTCTCGCACGCAACCTCTGGGCTGGTTTCCACATTCCGGGACTCATTAGCAATACATTCGTGAGGCTTGCTAACCAAACGCTGCTGCTGCTGGCTAATCGGATATCATCATCATTATTATTATTGATTCTACTAATAGCAGTCTTAAACAAACATAACGAGCACTGGCTCGAATAAGGCTTTTGGTATGCGGTGTGGTAGGTTTTGTAATAATTAGTGGGTGGATTGGAGGGGGTTTGTTTCTTCCTCTTGGTTCTTTCAGTAAAGTCACGTAGAAGGAAAATAATAAAATAATAAAAATGAAACATAAAATAATTTCACGTCTTGGCCACAACGCAAGCAGCCGTCTTCAGGTGGAGAACAGGTCTGTCGAGAAGGCAGAGTCTGAATGCAGTCACGAAAGCTTTAAATCGAGGTTTGTTTCTTGTTGATAAGAAAACTCCCTCCACGTCACGGGCGCCCCCTCTCATTGTGGGCACCAAACGATAACAGCGGATACGACGGGAAGAATGTTTGTACGTGGAACTTCTTTAGCACGACGACGACGACGACTACGACAACAACACGTGGCAAAAACACGGAATCGTCGTGGAGCGATGAGAATGTCACTGCGCCTCCACACCCGATGGATGAGATGCTGGAATGAATGCACTCCCGCCAGGCAGTGTGGCTGATGGGTTGGAGGAAACAGATCAGGGATATTTAGGAGGGGATTTACCTCCTTATTTCTTGGTGTGGAATACATTGAGATCCTGGAAACTCATACCTGCCAACTCATACCTGTCAACCCATACCTGTAAACTCATACCTGTGAACTCATACCTGTCAACTCATACCTGTCAACCTCATACCTGCCAACTTATACCTGTCAACTCATACCTGTCAACCCATACCTGTAAACTCATACCTGCCAACTCATACCTGTCAACTCATACCTGTCAACCCATACCTGTCAACCTCATACCTGTCAACTCATACCTGTCAACTCATACCTGCCAACTTATACCTGCCAACTCATACCTATCATCCCATACCTATCAACTCATACTATCATCCCATACCTGTCAACTCATACCTATCATCCCATACCTGTCAACTCATACCTGTCAACCCATACCTATCAACTCATACCTGTCAACTCATACCCGTCAACCCATAACTATCAACTCATACCTGCCAACCCATACCTGTCAACCCATACCTGTCAACTCATACCTGTCATCCCATCACGGTTTAC